TTAACATAATAGTCTCTAAGTCCATCCATATCGTCCCAAATGTTACGATTTCATTCTTCTTTATGGCGGAGTAACACTCCATTGTATAAATGTACCACAATTTCTTAATCCAATTGTCTACCGATGGGCATTTCAGTTGTTTCCAATTCTTGGCTATTGTGAATAGTGCCGCAATAAACATGAGGCTTATTTTTTAATCCAGGGAGTCATACTATGTTCCAAATAATCATTGTGCCCTTCAAGTCATAATTCTAATGCTCTCATTCAAATGGTATTGTCATTGATCAAAACACTTTTGTAATTCCCCCTACAGAATTGCCTTCAGCATCTGCAATCTTTTATCCTTAGTATCTCCAGAGTAGCAACCCTTCATCTTATCTTATGAGTGAATGTAAGACTTGGAAATATCGAAAAGTAATTTTGAACAAAATTTAGTAAATTGATTGGGTAACCAAATTGGATAATGCTGTCTTGGTTAAATGATTGCTGTTTTTCTGTTTTCTAAATGACTCTGAAGGCAATTCTAACAGGGCCTTAGACAATAAGATCTTTCCTGGGATAAATTTGTAGTCTTCAAATATAGTTTGATGGACACAAGCTTCCTTTGAATATGTAAATTTTCATGTCATTAGATATAACCGTCTTGTTAAGTTATATTGTTATATTCTAAACTGGTATATTTGTAAAATATTCAGCAAGATAATCTATTAGTAATTATAGTATTGATTACTATACAAATACAAGTTTTTCCTAACTTTGAAATTTTAAGAGTAAATATCAATAAAGAGGAACCATTTAATTTTTTTTAATCACAGATAATCCAATCCTCTAAAGTAATAATAATTTTCAAAATACTTTCATTTGTTCTTTTTGCTCAATGTCTGCCTTTCTGTACCATGACACATCTGAAAGCCTCGGAGAGCTATGATAAAATTGCTTCTCTTGTTCCTGTACAAACACGTGTCCCCTAGTCTTTTTTTTTTTTAAGTTTTAATGTTGAAATTCTGTATTCCATAATTACATTTTGGACTGTATGGACTTATGGAAAGAATCTTTTATGGAACTCCTCTCCCGTAGTCTTAATGTTGGTCTTGACAACAAGTGAAGATTTAGAATACACTTTGTGCAAATGATGTTTTTTTCCCCTGATGACGTGCGGTGTAATAACGTCAAGGAAAGGTAGTTCTTTTATTGTGCTCTTTTATTAAGGGGAGGTAGGGGAAAGGGGGACAGGAAGGGAAAAGTGGAGCGATGCTAGGAGAAATCCATGTCCACTAACAGCTGCTTCAGCGTCACGAAGAGCAGGGCTCATTCAAGTTGATACTGTATTTTTTCTAAGTGTGGTGCTAATGATTGTATGAATATGTTTCTCCTTTTAGTGGTGCTCATGTGGTTTTAGATGATGATACAGATGTGGGCTATGTGGAAGATGGGACGCCATGTGGCCCATCGATGATGTGTTTAGATCGCAAGTGCCTACAGATTCAGGCTCTCAATATGAGCAGCTGCCCGCTCGATTCCAAGGGTAAAGTCTGTTCAGGCCATGGGGTAAGTAGGCATCGGTGTTTCAGTTCAAACCTTCCCTCATTGTCCTCAAAGTTCACAATGGTGCGACTTCCAGTTCAGCCGCTGTCCTTCTGTGACCATTGCCAATATCTGTGTGCTGACTATGATAATTTTCTTAGTGCCCTTACCTGCCAACAGTAACACCCATATGTACTGATATGGTGTATTTTTGTTCTTTTATCACTGGGTATTTGTATTCACCACATTCTCTAGATATAGCTTGACGTCTAAGGAGTTGGGAGAAAATTGATATGATCCCTGAAGGAACTGTGTAGACCCAATGTGATTACTTTGTACCATTCAAAATAACTCAAAGCCTCTCAGCAGTTCCCTTTCAGCTCCTCGGCATGCACACTGAATTCTGTGTGTAAGATCGCCTCAGACTGGAGGCTGGATCATTGATATCATTCACATGTTTAAAGCTCTGTGGTGATGCTTGGATCATTGCCAGCCAAAGAGAAGATGCTCCCTTTTCCTGCACGTTTCTTTAACTCGATGAAAAAAGTGTTTGGGCAGATGCGCCCTGGCAAACTTAGGCTTAATATCTAAAAACAAATCTTAGTAATTACTTAAATTTGGCTTAGTACAAGAAAGGTATTTCAAAATTTATACAGACCTCGGAAATGGATAAAAGAGACATGCGGAAACTGAGAGCCAAGATGCTGGAGTGAAGGTAAAAATACTCCAAAATATAGATCGCTAAGCAGGCAATATGGGATAGAACAAGGTACAAAGGCCTAAGAAGCGTGTGTGCCAACAACCATGTATTATAGTTTCATGTTTGGTTGAATCATAGGCTCACAAGAGAGGCTGTATACCCTAGTGATCAAGAGCATGGATTTAGGGGCTATAAAGAATACTGGGTTTCAATCCTGGCTCTGCTTTTTGCTGTCCTACTGACTGCGGGCAAGTCACTTAACCTGTCATCCATCATGGTGCTAGTGTGAGGATAAAAGAGGTGCTATACCTAAAACACTTAGCATAGGTACTTAGCACACAGTAAATGTTCAGTAATTGCTATGTTAAAATAAAAGCACTGGGCAGAAACTTTTCGTTATTGCTTTATAAAATTATACAACTTAACGCATAAAAGCGCCCTTGATTCCCTACCCTCCTCACTTTTTTCTGGTTAAAATAGGTCAAATTTAGTCTTGTTAATCGTGATCAAACTATTATAACATTTTAGATTAAAAAGCTTCTTATACCAGTAAGCCTAAGTTCGATTTTATCATCTCTAATAATCTGTCTCTGTATTTCACAGGCAGATAAAGGTTTAAACTGCTCTGTCTGTAGTTTGCAGGTGGCTGTTTATTTCATCTAAATTTCAAGTCCATTACAGCATGCTGCTTAGTCCCCAGAGGAAGAGAGAGGAGACAGGTCACTCTAGTAGGGTCTGCAGCCTGGCTGACTGAGAGAAGAGACACCGTGGCAGGGAGGGAAAGTGGGAGGGGTGCTTGTTTGTTTGGGAAAGTGCCACCAAATGAATTTGGTGTTGAACATGGTGAGGTAATGAGCAATGCATTGGTGATTTATGTCTCCTGACCTTTAATCTCTGACAGTGGCTCTTGAACCCAGTATCTGTTAATTCCTTGAGTTAAGCATATATGTTTCTAAAGTACACTTCTAGAAAAAACTACTTCTGAAAAAAACTACATTGCCATACATTTGTGTACATAAATAATATCAACATGAATAATTAACATTTAATTTTAAAATGTCTTCCTTTTCATCTTTATTTTTTTTTAATTAACTGAAAAAACACCATTCAACTTTGATCCATCCATGGTTTCCCAATACTCAGAACTGTGGGAGAGTTCTAAAAAATTCTAAATGTTTTTGAAAGTGTCTGCCTGGCCCCATGTCTCTTTTACATTTATCACCAGTATTCTACAAAGGGCAGTGAACATCTTCCATCTCTGGTCTTTGTTCTTCACAGGTGTGTAGTAATGAAGCCACCTGCATTTGTGATTCTACCTGGGCTGGGACCGACTGCAGTATCCGGGATCCAGTTAAGAACCGTCAGCCTCCCAAGGATGAAGGACCCAAGGGTTTGTGTGATTTCAGTTTCAATTCCTAGTATATTGAATTCATTGGTACTCTTGCCAATGGTGCCAATATGACAACTTAATAGATTGAAAGGAGACACATAAGAATATCTCTTTTTTCATTAAACTATATAATTCATGTTACTGTGGAATTAACAATTCCAGTGTATCATATTGAAAAAAAATGTTTGAATTACTCCTTAGTCTAGAACTGAGATTAGGAAGCAGTAAAGATACCAATTTCCTTTCTCCCAGTTTTCTTTCTTTCCTTTAAACCTCATTCTTTTTTCATAATCACAAATGTTAATCATTTTATAGTTTGTCTAAGCTATGTCAGTTTCCTAATAGATAAATTTTGGGGGCTGACATGAGACTCTCTGGTCATTCCTCAATTCTTGGAAAGTAAAATACATGGAAGTTATAGTCTTCCATGCTGTGTTTTTTTAATACACTTTTGATTAGGAAGAAGTTGGAATTTTTCACAGAACTTCAGTAGCTGAAAGAAAACATGAAAGATCTGGACCTTAGTTTGAATTAGCCAGTATAAGGAGAAAAACTAGAATTTTAGAATCAGAAGGCATCTCAGTGGCCAACTACACCACCCTTATTTTGCAGATGAGAATGCGCATGCCCTGAGGTCAGGCGACGTGCTATAGTTACCCAGGGAACCAGAGGCAGGGCTGGGACCAGGACCCAAGTGCTGGCCCATTCTCTCCATGTCATAATGCTGTGACATAATGCTGTAATGTAGTCTATGTCATCGTGAATATAGTAATCACTTTCTCATTATTTTCCCCATTCCCAACCCCTGATATGATTTTTAAAGATCCAGAAAAGTCATTAGTTGCAATAGGCTTACGGTAACACCTATAGCATTTATATGTACCTGAGAAACCAGGAGTTACCGGAACAAGTGGTGTATCCAATGACATTGTACATTGGGTTCTTCTTTCTCATGGTACTGCTAACAGTGTTTTATAAATAATTATCATGCTTTTTTCCTGCAGGTAGGAAAAACACATATAGAAATAGTGCCATTTTGGTCTCCTTAGTTTTGGATGAAAGCTCATTTAAACACTCTGAACTTCAGTATAGGAACATAATGACTTCAAAAGCATATGAAGCTCTATAGTCCTCAATAACTGAAGAGATAGGCTGATTCGAGTGCATGCTTAATGTTCAGTAATAGTGGGTATGTTAAAACCCTTCGTACATTTGCTTAATATGCCCATGATATTAAAATTCTATAAGAATTGTAATCACGCCCTCAGTCTATTTCTGTTCTCCTTCTATTTCAAAAAAAGGAACCAATTCCACTTTTAAGTGTAGTCTTTTGTTACTTTAAAACTAGAACAAAAAAATTCTTGGATCCACCTTCAGAAGTTAGATTTAGGGAAGAGTTAGGCTGTGACAAGAGAAGCAGAGGTTCATTTTTTCCAGATTTTCTCTGTGTGACATTTCTGTGATTTTCTCAAAGACCTAGATGGTATTTTCTTCAAGGGATGTATAAAGTTACCTGAACAGATGAGCAGAGCTGAATTGGCTTAGACTCTGCCTGTTTTCATTAGGTAGAGGAGCAGATTATTAATTATCTGACTCTATTCCTCATTCCGGCACCCATGCAGGCCTAGAAAACTTACTTGGAGGCATGAAATGAATAGCTACATTCTAGAGATGAAGATATTCACAACTACCTTTTTTTGTTGTTTGTTGTTTTTGTTTTTTTCTTTCTCCCTATTTCATATGGTACTATTCTACATTTTCTTTAAAGATAGCCTTTTTGATCATTCAAGTAATACATGTTCATTGTAGGAAACTTTGAAAGTACAGAAAAGATTAAAAAGAAAATAAAAATCACCCTTAATCCCATAACTCAGAGGTGATCAATATATGCATTCTGGTATATTGCGTTCCTATTGTATTTTTTCCCATTCTTAATGAAGACAATGGAGTCATTAGAGTAAGGGTAACCATTGGTTCTAAAATTGTTAAAATCCTCGTGATCTTTAATAATCTTGATTAAAATTTTAAAAGCCATAAATTAATATTAATGAAGAGCAGTTATTATTGTAAATTATTAGATTTCCAGAAAAGTCAAGAAATTTTAGCACAACTCAATAATAACTATATCTTTATTTATTTGTATCATTTCAGCCTCTATAGAAAAATCTGTTGATATAAGTAAAATGAGGAACAACAGAAATCAAAGCTTCAGTACATTGTTGTCGGTCTTATGATTTTATTTTTGATATTCTGGTTAAAAGAAGAGGATGAGAGAGAAACTATTTTTATAGTTTTAATCCAGGTAGCAAATATTTATTGATTATCTACTATTTAAAAGCACCTCCTTGGCACAAAGTAGGCACTCAATAAATATTACATTCCTTCCCTTTGGGAATATGTAAAGGAAAGGAAATGCTTCCTGTTAGTGCTGATTTTCAGTTTACCGGTATTCGTAAGTTGTACTACCTTACTGAAGAGTAACAGGTAATGAGCTCAAGATACGGAAACAATTGGTACTTTCTTGATTGTGAGTTCAGCAGCTGTGTGAGGAGCCTGTAACTGCATGCATATATTCTTTCTCATGATCAGATTGGCTTGGTTGACACTTGTCTTATGGAGCCCAGTGTTTGGGCCCTCCCCAAATGTTTGTCATGTATAAGGAGCAACACCCACAATGATCTGACCTGTCAATTCCATAGATGAAGGTTTTTCTATATAGATGCAGTGAGAGGGCATTAAGAAATACTTTGTTTTACTTAATTTCATTATACTTCCTTGCTATGGAGAAAAAAAATTCAAGAAGCAAAATGAAACTATTGCCTTTTTTTTAATTTATTTTTTTTATCATGAACGTGGGCATAAAAGATAAGATGTTCCCAACTGCAGCCTTTGGAGCAATACCAAAATAATGAAAATAAAAGTGAATGGTGTGACTGTTTCCATTGATTTGGGGATGTCAGAAATGAACCAATGTATTTTGGGCATTTCTTTCATTTTAATTATAAATTCCCAGAAGAATAAAAATTCAACCTCTCCATCTGGATAGGAACTATTAATAAAAACACACATAAAAATATTGCCATTGAAGCCACTATGCACTAGCTAAAGTTGTCCACTTTTGACCCACTTGTTTAAAGCATGCTAGATCATTTGTTCCAACTTCTCAAATCATAATTATTAAAAGACAAGAAATAGGATCTCAAAGCAAAAACAGTGTGAACAAGGGTTTTTTATAAAAGATTTTTTATTACATATTACTTTATTTTTTTCACCGTGTCATTTATTCACATATGAAGACACTTCTGGTCCTTCTTCCCTCAACTTATTTCCACTGAACTCACTGAAAGAAATAATTTTGGTTTGTTCTACAGGAGTAGAGTATATTTGAACTCTGTTTAAGAGACTTAGAATCCCCACCTGCTGTGGGGAGAGCCATGTCAAGTATCCATAATTTTTGTCAATTGGTAGGCATCTTTGCATATGCTCATTATGGAATACACAGGAACTTTTCTTATTGGATGGCTTATATCACCATATAGGAGGGAAGAGAAGATATGGAAAGGTAGCAGAGCTTTCCTGGGAAGCTTTGTTCAGACCCTTTTATCATGACCATAGTCACCAAATCAGAGATAGTAAGGCCTTAGTGGCAATTCAGTCCAGACCCATTGTTTTACAAATGAGAAAACTAACTTAATGATCAGGATTAACAGATAGGGGCAGAGCCAAGAATAGAGCAGATTACCTGATTTTGAGCTGAGGCTTTTTCTGCTATTGCAGGCTGCCCCATTTAAAGCTGAGTATGTGTTAATTTGTTATGCTCGTTCTTATAGCACAATAACAAGTACAGGGTGTGAAACAATAACCAAGTAATGATTAAGCTTATTATCTGACCCATGACTTGTCGAAAGAAGTGTTATATTATTAGCGTTTAGTGTTTTGATAACAATAATTTCTAAGTCTTACTACCTTAAGGAGTATTATTTAGTGTTTATGTTTACCTTTTGCATATATCTTTTTAAAAGATGATTTCCTTTGTGAGTGTACAAATCTGTGATTTTGCAGTTCAGATGATTAGATATGGTATGTTATAATTATTATATGATTATGCTCATGAAGAATTATATCGCACAGGTAATTTTCTCACTAATAGCTTTATCAATAACAAGAATTTACCAATTTTAAAATTTTTCAGTAACTGAGTTTATTTTGTTTGGATTTAGAAAAATACTGTGATATTTTCATAGGCAGCTAAACTAACTGAAATAATATTCTTATATGAAATAATTTATTTTTTATTCTTTTAGATATTTGTCCCAATGAATCCCAAAATGAACTTAATTTTAAAAAATTATTTCAGGGAAAAGAGTAGGGAGATATGAGTATATGTCTGACATATTGAAATATGGAGCTAATAAAATATGTGTTTGTCATGCCAATATTATACTCTAAGCTATAAAGAGTATATTTAGTGTTTATTTCTAATCTTAAATTTTAGCAAAATAATAAATCCCTGAAAAAAAGGACCTTTGGTCCACAGAATACGTACGATGGCTTTGATGCCTCCCATCTTTGAAGTATTGAGGACGTAGGATTATAGCCCCTTTTGGCTCATTGGGATCACACAAACTACATAATGCACTTTTCTGTTTCAGAAACGCTCTAAAAGTAAGGAAAAAAAAAAGACCACTCAGTTTCAAAAACACAATTTCAAAATGTCTGAAGCATGACTTATCTGGGGGAGAAATTCTACATATAAAATCGAAATTCCTTAAAAAATGAGTAAATTCAGAGTTTGTATCTTGATATTATATACTTCTACATTTTATCACCTATGAACCTAGATAGCAGGGACCGAGACTAAAAGTAACAATAATAAACCAGCAAACGACAGAAATAAACAAGGAAACAAAAAAGGAAAAAAAACCAACATTCACATTATAGTAAAAGGTAAGTGTGTCAAAGAGTTAGGGAGCAAAGTTAAGTTCCTGATATGAGGACTG